GCCGCCTCCTTCCTCCGCGCCCGGCCCTGCCCGGCCCTACGCTCCGCGCCTGAGCGCCTGTGTGTGCGAGGAGCTGCGACAGGCGTCGGAGATACAGCTGCGGATCAAACACAAACATCCAGAAAGAATGTCAGACTGGGCTAAGCCTGGGCGAGGGATTGGGAGGACTGCAGAGCGGAGGGGGGATTTGAGATGGTCCGGGTTTTCTTGAGCTCCTCATCCTTGAGTCTCAAATCTAATTCTAGAAGGGAAAGGGACGGTAAAAGTCAATACGCTGTTGGCTGTTGGTGAGAGCCGCTAGGGGGAAACTAGGAGGAAACGCAGGAAAAGGTGAGGGGAAGAGGAGCGGGAGGAGGAGGAGGAAGGAGCCGTTCGCAGCCTGGTGACTCACTGGCTCATTCATGTCAAGTTGAACAGCTGGGTCCTGAGAGTTCCCAAGTGCCGGGCTCCTGAAGGCTCTGACTTCGGCCCTGTGCAGCGGGAGAGAGAAAAGCCATCCAATAATCTCTGAAACTAATACCCCCAGGCCTCACCTGGGAGGGGGCAAGGCCTCCATAAGCCGCCACCCTGTTTCCCCTCTCTGGCTCTTTTCTTCATTTCTAAAATGAAGCGCCTTGTTTCCATCAAGCTGCATATAGCGACCTTATTGTATCTTTCCAACCTGCCCACGTCCCGTCACTGCCATACCATGGTCCCCCACCATCACCTCTCTCCCTGCTGCCTCCTCCCTGTTCCCTCTGCTCCCACCTTTGCCTCCTACAGTTCCTGCACGGTCCCTGCCACCACAACTATCGCTCGTTTCATGCGCTGAATCGTGTCTCCCGAGGGCCTCAAAACTCCCCAGGACTTCCCTTCGCTTTAGACCGACTCCGAAACTCCTGACCCGGTGCCCTTGAGTCAGCCCTCTCCAACTTTGTAGACCAGTGGAGGAAAACAGGCAACTAAAAAGCAAAGTTTTAAAAGACAGAGTCTCAGACCACAGCGAGTGTGATAAAGGAAAGGAGCAGTTGTCGGGGTGGAGAGAGAGAGGGCTGATCACCCCCACAGGGGGCTGGGGAGAAGGAAAGGAAAGATCAGAAAGGACCACAATGGAGGGGCTGAGGGATGGGAGTTCTGGCAGGGGAGGAGTGGGTTGGGCCAACCTTCGAGCAGCAAGGCAACCCCAGCGGCTGGGACGGAGGAAGCAGGGCCTGGGATGGGGTCTAGGCTGGCTCCTGTGGACCCTGACAAGGGCTCTGGCTTTCACCCTGAGTAAAGTAGATGGGAGCCAGACAGAGTTCATGTAACTGGGAGTGAGGAGGCCAGACTCAAGAGTGTATTTCCCGGGTAACACAGTCAGCACCATCTGATGGTTTGTATGTGGCAGGTGACAGGGAACCACTGTTGGTTTCCCTCCCGCTTTACGATGGCTCCCAGCTCACCCCTCTGCTGATCTAGATGGCTGAAGGCGACTTCTTCCCAGAGATCTGGTTTGTTCATAGGAGGCTGCAGAAAGCAATACAGCATTCCTGACTAGAGGAAAGAATGGGCCTGCAGAACAGTCATCCCGGTACATCTCAAATGATAGCCAGAGGTGCCTCCCTTCTGCACTCTGCTGAGCCGAGCTTGCAGAGCAGCTGCTATAAAGATCCTGGGGCTCCCAGCAGATGGGATCACAGACACGGACCCTGAGGCTCAGCGAGGAGGAGCGGAGACAGTGTCATGCTGGAAAATGTCCAGCACAACAGGATAGAAACCTCTCTGCCCAACTTCCAAGCCATGCATGGGCTGTGCATACGCTTGTCTTAGCTCTGTGCATCTCGTATTTTCCGTGCATGTTCCAACCCACATACATGGCTTGTGTTACAGATCTCATGCTGTTTCTCCTTTTTCTCCAAGTCCCATCTGTGTCAGCTCCTGATAGCTGCACCACTGCGTGAGGACGTGTGTCCCCTCTTCACACTCCACCGCTGCCCCGTGGCACTCAGATGGCCTCCAGCCTCCCCACCATAACGAAGCACCCACCAGCGATGTTCCTGCAGGTGTGGGCTTGATGGGACGGACACTGGACGGGTGAGGATGGATGTGACTAAGGCACCCAGGCCTCCCTCCCGGGTCTGCTTGGGGCTCCGTCTCACCCCAGTGTTCGGGAGCCCCTGCAGCCCAAGACACAGAAGTCTAGGTTCTGAGGTCTACTGGGCACACAGGACAGCTCAGTGGCTTTACTGTGCTCTTCCCTGATTACTATTCAGGCTGAGTTTGTCTTCACAGGCTCCTTTCGTACAAAACAAGTCTATAAATTGCCTGGATGTCATGGCCCACTTTTCTATAGGGGCTCCTGCTTTTTGTTTGCTTGTTGGTTGGTACCGGGGATCGAACTCGGGTCCTTGCACTTTCGAGGCAGGCAGCGGAACAACTGAGCTAAGTCCCTGGCCTTGGGGGCTCCTGCTTTTATTTTTAGATGACTTACAGGGCTCCTTTGTGTAATCTAGATTTTAAAATCCTTGTTGACTTTCCGATATTGCAAAGATCTACTTCCATTGTATCACCTGTCTATTGACTTTGCTCAGTATCCTTTGTCAAAGCAACAGTCTTTGAATGCGTCCGGAACAATTTGTTTTGGCTATGTGGTCCGTGCTTTGACAGTTTTGTTTCAGGAGAGCTCCCTTGTTTATAAATTTTGTATCTTTGTCTTTTACTTTAGGCTTTTAGTCATATGCACATATAATTCATATATAATATTATTGGTGAGGGCCCAGCCTTATTTTTTTCTCTATAGTTAGCTAGTTTTCTGAAAGCCGTCCATGAAATCACCGATCTGGCAGGGAGTGGTGGCACATGTCCATAATCCCAGCACTCTGGAGGCTGAGGCAGGAGGATCACTGTGAGTTTGAGGTCAGCCTGGGCTGTGTAGTGGGTTCAAAGCCAGCCTGAACTACATAGTGAGACCCTGCCTCAAAACAAAAAACAAAAAATGAAGAGGAAGAAGAAGTGGAGGAGGAAATGGAGGAAGAGGAG